AGTTTGGGTACTACACTGCCATCCTGTATCTGTCTTTCATCGGTTTGGTGAGTTCATTTCAAATTATTGTCCTTTTAGTTGTTTTTATTTCTCCAACTGTGTTTATTTGGGATTAAAGTTTTGCCTACATCCCTTCTCATTAATTTCCAAATATTTTCGTGTTTTTATTCGCAGACATCGACCATAAGCGAGAACCCACCAGTATTGAAAAAAAAAAGATGGGCAAAGCTTCCGGACGTACCCTTGGGTTTTAGTTTACAGACAAGCCTATTCAAAGTCGAACTTGAAGGGACCATAAAAAATTTTTGAGTTGGAGATGCAATCATTTTTGTCGGGGGAAAGAAAGAAGAATTACAAGGAATTGTAATTCGTGATATTTTGTCCCGTAAATTGCATTTAAAATGATTTGGTAGGATGCTGAAGTTGGAGGCAAAGGTTTATTTGTCCAATTAGTCTTTCACTTTCTTTCAAAATGCATCAAGTTACATTTTTTTTATTGTTATTCTCTTTCCAGTGTAAATAAAATAATAGCCAAAAAGCCTCCAGAGGTGGAAAGCCTTTTGAGTTAGGATGGTTTTTAATGCATTGTTTTGAAGGGAATGCAGAAGGGGACTTGAAAAAATTTCTATGAAGGGAGGTTTTTGAGTTATCGAGGTTGAAATTTACTATGATTACATAATGGAAAACCCGTCGAAAAATATATTTTGCATTTTCAGGGTTTGGCTCTGGCGATAATTGGACCCACGCTGGTCGATCTCAGCATCGTTCNCGTTCTCAACAAACATTTGGACGAGATCGGCTTGGTTTTTGTCGCAAGATCATCCGGATACTTTCTGGGTTCCGTAATGGGTATGTAATTCAATTTTCGTAGGACTTTTGTCAAATATTCGCAGTATTTAATAAATTCGCATTTCTATGTTTCTTTATATAGTCGCCATTATATTCGATCACGGACATCGCCTGGAAATCTACGGAGCAGTGAATATTCTCGGCGGAATCTCAATCTGTGTGGCGCCGTTGATGTTCAACTTCTGGGGATTCTGCTTTGTGATCTTCCTGTCCGGCCTTTTTACCGGTGTCATGGATGCAGGTGGGCGGCGATTTTCATTTTATTCCAATGCAAATCCATCAGCATTTTATTTCATTTTATTCCAATGCGAGGACATCAGCCAAAAGGGAAATGAATTTCCAGTAGCTTCAATTTCATAATTTCAAATCGAAATTGGTGTCCTTCGACTTTTTGCCCCCCCCCCCCTGTTTTATTTCGTTATGTTGGTACGTTTGTACTGCTGAAAATTTGTCTTTGTTTTGGATTCCTACTCATTTCTAAAAAGGATTTTCACTAGATTAAAATATCTTAGAAGTGTAGATCTGAAAGCCATCTACTGTCCTTGAAAAGATAAATCTTTGTAAAAAAAAAATAATAATAAAAAAAGGCAGTTGGCCTCTGCCCAGAAACGCGAAAAGTACAAATGTATATGCGTTGACTTTAAACTTCGGTTGCAGGCGGGAACGTGATGCTGCTGTCCCTGTGGGAAGGCGGCAGTGCCCCGTACATGCAGGCCCTGCACTTCTTCTTCGGCCTCGGCGCCTTCCTCACTCCGCTCATCTCCGAGCCCTTCCTGTCCCCGGACGTGAACCGGGAACAACTCCTGCACAACGAAACCGTCTCCTTCCTGCTCGACAACGGGACAGTGAGCAAAGTGGACGCCCACGTGGACCGAGACGAGGTGG